TATATGTTAGGCACTGAGAGAGAAATGTGTGTAGGTACATATGAATATGCTCTAAGGTTAACATAAAGGGTCTGACTCTCCTTATCTTCCTTCCAGAAGTCACTAACTCAGTTAACCAGGAGCAAACATAAAAATGATTTTGTGATTTCTATCTATCTCATGAATTTGCCACAGTGTTGTATGTACCGACTCAAAAATGCCACTTTTTCACAAAACTTTACATTTCAGCTTCAAAATGATCTCAGTGGTGTAAGAGGAAGGTATGTCTCATTTATAAGCAGCACAATACGGATTAGGTAGGAACTCCTGTGTCCTAAACTGAGCTTTAGGACTGACTAGCTGCATGGCTTTTGTAAAATAATTCAACTTATTCTGTTTTCCACCTGAAAAAATATCCCATAATAATACTGCCCTACTGTATTGTGATTTTGTGAAAGAGACTTAGAATGTGCATGACAGTTCGAAGTTGTGAAATAATGTATATAGATCACACTGTGTGTGTAACGGACACAAAGATACATAATTGCCCCACATCCTTCCTGGATGCAAACTACTCTAGCTTGAAATAGATTTGGCTGATGTCCACATCCTGGCTTAAAATGGCAACATCAAGAGGAGAGAGATTTTTTTTGCTTGTCATAACAAATAGTAAATGCAAACAGTAATGCACTAAATAGGAGACACGTGGTTTAGAGATGAATTCTCATGCATCTAAAAGGTCTTAACTTCTTATTCTAGTCCTCCAGTTGGACCTTAACTCTCCTGTGAACTTACATTTTATATGCATCATGAGTTTTACACACAGTGTTGTTAAATCAGGCTACACCACACACAAGACAGTAGGACAAACATCATTACCACCATTTAACAGTGAAAGGGAGATAGGCTTAGGTAGTTTTCCTCGAGTCACCCAGCAAAGTAGAGTAAAAAAACCCAGTACTTGAAGCCACTTTCCTTGCCTCAGTGTTACCTTGATCTAATTCTTTGTGGTCCTCCTCTGGAGCATCCTTCCTTAGATTCTACATACAGGACTTTCACTTATTTATATAGAAAACCTTGACTGATGATGAAAGCTCACTGCACTGATCACAAAGCTTTGACTGCCAGTAACATCCACCAGTGATAATAGCAAACGGTAGCTCTGATGGAGCTCTCACCCATGTGCTTTCGTGTTGTTCTTCATAGTTACCTCAGTTCCTTCTCGCAGTTCGTGAGCCTCAAGGCATATAATATTCAGATTTTTTTCAGTCGGTAAGTCATTCCTAATAGCCATATAACAGTACAGACACTGAGAAAGATAGAGTGAAAGACTGAAGAAGCCCTGGGAGAAGAGAAACATGCCATAAACTGAAGGAGGTTGGTCCGTACTGAAGTGAAATCAAACCGCAAACTAAGGACAGAGCTGGATATAACGTCACGGAGGTCCTTCCTCCAGGGGCAAAGAGCATTACTGAGAAGGGAGGTGCCTAAAGGCCTCCACCAGGTCCTAACAAAATACAATTATTAAACATTTATAATAACAAATCTCACCTCCATAGCTGGCCAAACCTTAACACAAGTGGGCTGGAGCTTCCAGAAGTAATGAACATTAAAGACTAGAATGCGCATGTGAATAGTGCTTCTATGCATACACTGTAGATGGAAAATAAAAATATTTCCATAAATTTGTTGTAAAGATGAAAAGGACTGTGCACAAAATATTATTCCTTTCTATTATCCATGATCAGGCCCTAATATCATTTAGTAGAAAAGAAAAAAAATTCACGACACTTCTCTTTCAGAAAGTCTTGAATTTTCCTGTTCAGCAGTGAGCTGAGATGCATGCACCATTAATTTCTATGCAGAAAACATTGTTCACTTCAACCAGCAATTAGTGGCAACATTTCTATCCTGTGCAGTGATGAGACTTTTATGCTAATCACTATGCAGCAGTAAATTAATCATTTGGGCACATTTAGATGGTATGTATATTTCATGAGACAGATACAGATATCAAGATCAGTTTGATATTTACTCATGGTAAATGGAAGTGTCTCAAATCGTTACGGGGGAAGCATACTAACTAAATATACCACCAGAGATGTTTGCAATGTAACGGCAGAGGAAGCACAGCTTCATCTCTTGCGTCAGGAAATATCTCTCTATCTTTGTTTTTAATTATTTTAAGGGAGGTAAAAATCTTGCGAGATCACATAAAACTAAATCTTTCAAAGAGACAGTGAAACTCCAATAATGTCTTGACACATGAAGGACAAAAGCAGCAGTTTGGTTTCTGATCCTGTAATTCTTCTTTTATTACTGGAAAAATTACCTGCTTTATATTATGCAGTATTGAAGAGAGACTTTTCATCAGCATTTGTGCTATAGTCTAGTCGGCTAAATGAATTACGTATCCGACTCGTTGTGCTGTAACTGTCTGAAAGCTTTGAGTTGTAGCAGAAACGAAGTCTACCCAGGGGCCACCCTCATTCTCAGCAGATGTAAGAGATTTATAATAGCTTCAGGAAAATGTTTATTTGAAATTTAAATTTTTTGACACATATTTAAATACTACTGCTCTTTCTTCAGTTCTAAGCTTGCAGACATTTAGGCAAAAAGCAATCTAGCCCATAGCTGATAGCATTTTATGTTATTGGAGGGAAACACAAATGTGGTGTCTTTATCTTAGGATGTCATCATAATACTTGCGAAGAACATAACTTTATGGCACCTGACCATGACAATAACAATAATAAAAATAATAAACTCAGCTATTAGTTTCTCAACTAAAAAAAGACAACAGGGTTCCTTACTCAAAGATCAGAAGCAGTACACAAGTGGAAAGCAAAGTTATTCTGGTATATCTAGATCACTTAAGAAATGCTCTTGAACAGAAAATTGAACATCGTATATATGTTTAATTGCCAGCAATTGAAACACCAGAATCGCTACACTGAACAAGGACAAAGATGAGCTTTTGCACAAAAGGTACAAAATTCTAGTGGGAAGGGAAAGAAATTTACTATCATCTCACCGTTTATGGAAATTTTGAGAGAGGTACCTCTGAATAGGTAAGGTTATCAGGAGAGCATTTTGAACAGCTAAACTTTTAGATCTGAGAACTCTTACAAGTGAAACAAAAAAACAACTGGCGAATCAAGAAGACTTTCTTATTTTGGATGTTATTTCCAAATCTGCTCTTCAAATCTTCTCTCAAGAACTGTGTACCCGAAGTTGATGCAAAGATTAAATTCTCTTCAGGGGCATCATGGTCTTAATTTTAATGGCTTGTCTTATGTAATGCATGATCCAGCAAGTATATGAGGGGATGTATTTTGGAGTCATGTGCATATAGCAGTATTGCTCTCTTCTACAGAGAGAATTCTTGATTCAAAATAGCTTCTGTTTGACTTAATGGCAATTAAGGATCTCGTTTATTATCAACAAAAAAATACAAATAAACCCTTTTTCCAAATGAGCACAAGTTAAGATTTGTAACAATAAATTTAATTTCACTTTGTAAAACCTTATGACTCTCCGATGCTGAAGTGGCATACACTGAAGAAAAAATATGTGGAACAAAGTTCAAAAAACAGTCAGTGATATTCTAAGAAGGTCAAAAGGTTGCATTTAGAGACAGTTGGGAATCTGCCAGTGGTAAATACCACTAGCTATGCTCTTGTCAAACAAATAAATAATAAAAAAAAAGACATACATATGACCAGTTGAAAGCTGAGGAAAATTTGGCTAACTTTATTTCAAAATTGTTTCTTTATAAAGAAAGAGCAGAATATATCTGGACGCTTGCTATGTTCCTGAAGTGATTTGGAATAAAAAGGGAAATATTTAATAAATGTGATGTAAATCACTATTAGGGTTCTATCATGGTAAATAGATATCATGCTTATTAAGTCTACAAACATGAATGGCTCATCGCTAAGCTACTACTCAAATACAGAACTGATTAACAGCACCAGGAATTGCCTGCCATTTGGGTTAATACTCTATGTATGTTGTTCGTTACGTTAATACTTTTAATTATATTGCAGCACTTCTGCACAAATGAATAAGATGATTGCTTGTAAAATTTAAAAGCACAAACGAGGATCATGTCACAAAGACATAAGCAGAAATGACATACTCTAAAAATCTTCCTAAATACCAGCTATATCCTCTCTACAGGCACCTACCGGCACAGTCTTGACTCATCATCTGAATATCCATAAACTTTCAGCAGAAAAAAAAAAAAAATCCAACAACGTATACAGGAATTAAATTCCCCAGTTAATTCCTCATTATGAGTGCCGCCTTCTTGCCTAGGCTGTGGCAGGAAAGGGCATCCCACCAGAAAAGGGGCAGTGCTGTAAACAGCGTGAGCAGGGTAGGTCAGAACCTGCTCTCATGCTCCTCTGGGGTATCAGCGGGCAGGTAGGGAAGGTCCCCAGTCACAGCTGTGAGGCTGTTTCTGCAAAGCACGGCATTTCAGAAAAAAGCTGCCATTCGAAATTCTCTGCATGTCCCTATGGTGAGTCTTCCATCAGAAAGAAAACAACATACACATCTTTCCATGGGGAAGTGACCAAAGAAAGACAACAGTGCTGTGGTCTGGAGATCTGGAACTAGCCAGGAAACAGACAGCATCCAGGCTGTGAAATACGCCATCAGCAAATGGCAGGGAGACTCCATCCAGCTGGGGAAACAGATCTAATTCCTGTTATTTACTTCCTACCCTGTATGCCCTCGTTTATCTGAGTCCTGCATAAAGCAACCTGTATTAAGAGTAAACAGGGAGGGCTGAATGTACTATGAAGAGCCATATTATTTGACCATTTTAACCCTACATTACCATTGAAGCATCCAAGATTAATTTGTCCTATAACCAGAAAACTGTTTGCAAAGTAACATGTTGTCTTAAGAGAGCAAGAAGAAAATGCTATTCTATTAATCGCACATCATTCTAATGGGTAGATTTAAAGAAGATAGAAAATAAACCCATAAACTTGCACACTCAATACAGTAACTATTCTGACGCAAAAAATTTATTCAGTGTATTTTTCCTGCTACACAGGAGCACTTTACATACAAATGATTATTACATCATACGCAAAGAGGTATCATACATTGATCAGACACTAAAAAGTACTTAAAAGAAGAAACCGTAAGTGGAAATCACAATGGAAGATATTAAAACAGCAAAAAGAAAGAGGAATATATAAAAGAGTATGTGCTTTGAGGGAAACAGAAATAATCATGCGCAGGGTGAAAAAGGAATTTTACCACAGATGTAGACGGCATGCATTAGTGGATTCTCAGTCTTTACTGAAGAACAGAAATCTTCCTTCTTGCTGTTTTATTACCTTGGCAACATCTCCTCCATGTCAGCAATTACATAGGAGACGACAGTCCAAACAGCAGCACAGAGATTCATCTGGTTTGGATCCTGAACTGTCATTGTGTCCCCGTGAGAATGATGAAACCAGAAGTATTTACTGATGTCATCACGTAAGCTGGCGCCTATAGAGAAAAATAGGCAATATTCCATTATATGAACACAAATATTTAAAGAAGAACATAAACATGAATCCATCCCTGGGCTGTTTATTATTAAATCCACATGCAACTGTATAAAGTTCCATACAGTAATTGCACAGAGCCATGACATGTGCAATTTGCAGGTTTTAGGTTAGTTGACTCGAATGAGCACAAGGCAGCAAAAACTCATGCAGGGGAAAAGCTGTACTTCCTCTGAGATACTTTTCTCTTTAGTAACAGTATACATCCATTTCTTCTCTCTGACGACCAGAATCCAATCAGGAAAATCCATACAGAAATCCCACATGTGGTGGCACTTCCTCTTGCTTTTAATTCAGCGGAAACTGATTCTTCAGTTGTGAGACATAATATCAATATTTATGACTGCTCTGAGGATTAGGTATGACTTAGTTATGAATCCTTGCCTTGCTGCTATTTGTGTTGAGGAAAGCTCAGGAATTTGCCTCTACTTTTGAGCTTCCGTTCACCACAACGCTGTGCAGTTTCAGAGCAGTTTTGTCACGATCCCACCCAAAGGAGTACATTACAGTAGCTTTCAGGAGTCCCCATCAGCTAGCAGCAGAAGTAAGCTCAGCTGAGATCAGAGCTCTTCCTACTCAGGAATGACAAACTCTTTTGGGGGGCACCAGGGCATAGAAAGGACTAACCTTCATCAAACTACGTGGGCTTAGGCTGCACAAATAATGCCCATGAGCAATGACTCAAGGGCCCCAGAATAGGTTGAAACCAAGCGGAGCAGGAAAAGCTGCTGCCACAGCAGGCGCGATGGTGGAGACACCACCGCTCACCAGCCTGGGGGGCCACGGTGCTTTTTACATGGGTCTGTCCCTGTCTGCTCCTGTCTCCGCTGGCACTCTCTCCGGTTCCCTTTCTCCTTGTAGTTTCTTCTCTCCAAGTTCATTACTTCTGCCTCTTCTCTGGTTTTGTCTGCTCCCCTCTGCTTTGTTTCAGTTTAATCAACTCTCCCATCATAACAAAACTCCACCTCACTTATTGTGGAAATAAGTGTGACATTTGCCAATGGATTCACTGCTGGTAAATCCTTTAGGTTGACTCATTTAGTCTGCGAGCTTACTGGGCTTAGGAGGTCTGCAGCTCTCTGCATAGGAAGCACAAGAGGCCTCACTCTTGTTTGGTCAAAGAAACTCAGAACAAATATTGATACGAATTTGAGCGTACCAGCTATTGGACCCAGCCAGAAACACAGACTGAGATTAGATACTACTATGTAAAGCAATACAGAAAAAAAAAAACGGATGGTTTGATTAAAAAAAATCAATAAAATAAATTGTTCATATATTTATTTATACGTAGTGGAAAATCAGCCATCAAATAACGAGTGTTTGATAAATTCATGCGTGTTCACAAGAACTACTATTATGATTTTTCTTGGTTTCACTGAGATGTCTGAAGCCTTTGAAGAGAATGAAAGCAAAATTTCTCACAACATAACTGTACATTCCTGTAATACACATCTTTTGATCAGCCCTGTAGTCATTCAGGACACGGTCCAGCTCTTACTGTGTTTAACAGGCATATTTCCATCGCTGTACAGGGAACTGATTTAGGCTGCTTGTTTCACTGCTATTTTAGAATGAAGGCAAAGAAAGGCAACGCATTTTGTAATTCCATCCAAGATGAAAATTCCTTCGTAAGAAATATGATGTACAGAAACCAAATGTTGCAGTTTACGGTTATACAGTATTGAGACTGACTTCATTTTAAGAGGTTCTCTCCTTGCTCTTAAGAAACTTATTCGCCTCTGACTCGAACCAGTGCAATCCCACAGAAGTCATCGTGTGGCTTACAGGTGCTGAATTATTTTCCAATAGTCTTAGCATTGAAATTATGCCAATGCCGATTCACTTTTAAAAATTGATGCTGAATTATTTTAAATATGTACAAATATAAAGTAATAGAACTATTTTGATAAATACTTTAACTGACGGAATTCTGCACTGAAGATGCAGTACGAGTTAAGCCACTGATGCAAATCCATTACAATTTTTGACCCAAGGCCCAATTTAAGACCCAAGACACAAATTCATTGTTTGGACCTCGGCGCACACTTTGCACTAATCATAATAATTATGGATTTACAGAGTAGTGTTTTATCTCTGTGAATGGATGAATGGATCAAGAACAAATAACTTTCACTTGGTAATGTTTAATTCATTGACATGCTAAAATACACTATTTTTTTAAATCATAAAATAATCTAGCTTTGCCATCAAACAATTACTGTGTAAAAAACTCTTGCAGCAAGATTTGTCAGAGTGTGAGAACAAAGAGTACTGAAGGGTTCCTAAACAGGCTGTGCTTTTTCCTTAATGTCTTAGACCATCACTGAAGACAGGAACCTATCAATATGTTATGAGACTAACCAAAAGACCCTAAGAAAGCAATTTATCCTATGTAAATAGAAACAAAAGCGATTTATCCTATACAAGAAAAGATTTTTACAGCTGAGGGCCCCCAAAAAGCCTCCGGACATGGAACACCCCGAGGCACAAATACGACTGCAATCACTTTTCATGTCTCCTGCTCCAAACTTGAGACTACTCCATATTGATGTTAGTTGCCACAAGGTATTTATGACTTCCAGAGGTGGCTAGGCCACAGGAAGACACTGAATATTGCCCCTTCACCAGAAAATGCATCCAGGATTGAGATCAACATGTATGGACGATTCTGAACAGTGAAGTTCCGAGATCCTCTGCTAATACTCACTTCAGATTTTCGATTACAGAATTATAAAATTTTGTCTAGAAAACATCTGTAGATTCCAATCATGTTGAATTATCTAAATAAATTCAGTGGGATCCTACAGCCACTTTTCTGAAAAACTAACAGAAATAAAAATGCTTTCAATATAAGCAATCATTCTGCAGAATTCAGGAGAAGGGAAAGAAGGATTCTGCAAAATGCTTCAGACAATAAGATTTCAGAGTAGATTGACTGACTGATTATACTGGAGCCTAAATAGCCAATTCATTATTAAGCTTTTTCAAACAAAATCTGTCTGACAGTCAAACTTGCCACTTCCAGAAGCCTGAAAGATAATAAGAAACCGGAAAAAAATCACCTAGATAGAAATCTTAAAAACTCCAGTTGCCAATCAATTGTTGTTCCACCTAAAATTGACTTAAGTTTTTGTTGTTGTTGTTGTTACCATTTATATGGTGACACTTCCCTCAAGAACAATAGATATTAACAAAAGGAGGGCTGTTACTGCAAGCTACATAAGCTAGCAGTCAGGGAAAACAGGTGAGTAGCCACATCTCACAACCTGCCAATAAATTATTTACCTGTCTCCATGATAGCTGTCTACAAAGTGGATAGTATACATTTCCCAGGGCAGTGTTGAAAGGTTGAATTAAGTACTTAAAAATCCTCAGATGGAAAGTGTTGCATAGGTGTGTATCAACTAGTTAATTTTGATTTTCACTGTAATCAACACTCAAATAAGAAAACAAGTAAGCTGTAGGCTCCACTATCACACTCATGTTCTTTACAGTTAATGGAGAACGGTTTCATGTGTGCCAAGATTGCAGAGCAAGAACACCCATAAAGAAAAAGTGAATGTTTGCCAAATAACCTTTCTTAATTACCCTTTTCTGGTCTGTTCACATTCATGATGATGCAAATCACACGAGAAATATTGCTAGCTAATAAGGAATTTAGGAAGAAATTGCTTTTAGCTGGACATAGCAACTGTTGTGGCATGAAGACAGGGAATGTTAAAAACTTCATACTATACTTGTTCTATGAATGCATGAAAATACTGGAAATCAAAACCTATAAAAATGATTATTTGAGCAGTTTTGATAACATCAGATATATATAATTCATAATTCCATTACAAAGTGGCACAAAACACATTTAATTCAGTGGTGCATATAGTGGTAATACAGTGCCTAAAGGCAGATATTTTGTGCCATTTGGGATCTCCCAGGTGTCAGATACTGGCATGGGGCTGACGGTTCTGACATAGAGGTTATATCTCATGTCTGGAGCAGCTGCTGAGGCCCTGTGAAGTGTAGGGAGTTGCACTACATAAGTGTGTCTAGGGAACTAAAGCATAGCCTATATGCTCATCCTTGATGCAGCAAAACATTATTTTACTTGTTTGCCATTTGTGGGAAATATGTGTAAATATATGGGGTCAGAGGCAAACGCTGAAGCTAATGCTGATGCATTCTTAGTTTGGGCTTTTTTGGTTTCTTTGCTGTGGGGGTTAGGGATTTTTTCATTTTGTTTTGTTTTTCTGCTTTCAGCTCCTTCTGCAATCACTTCCTTATACTTGACCTGTTACTGAGCCTTCATGCCGAGCAAGCTGCAGATGACAGTGATTTTTAGCTCAGGTTATGCTAGGAAAGGAGACGTTTCCATTGTGCCAGAACAGGGCAGCAGAGTTACTAGTACAGCACTTGCCAAAGAGATCAACATATTCTACGCAATAATTTTAAAAACATGCAGAACCAGCATATGTTCTTTTGTGACCAAATGCCTGTCGAAAACTCAAACTGTGTATCAGGGGACGTGGAGGACTCGGGGTGATGCTGGTATCATTCAGGCTGACAAAATCATTAATCATCAGGGTACCTTTAGCACAGTGGACAGGTGTTTTGCAATCAAATCCTAGTCTCTAGGACACATATTGATCCTAGCTATCACAGGCCTGCTACACACAGTTCAATGAGTCTCTCAGATACAAATACTATTCTCTCCTTCTTCCTTCCTCAAGTGTGGCACCTTCTTTTTAGACTTGACAGCTTCTAGGCTCTGCCACCAAGCCAAAGTTGTTTCTTCCTGAATCAATTCACTGTCATGCAGCTGTGAGAAAAATAAGCCAGCGGTATAAAACTGCACAAAAGCAGTCAATTGCTGTTTATTTTATTAATGTAAATTACAGTCGTCGTAACCAGAAGCGACAATCAAACAAAACAACTACTGCTGTC